CAGAGCTGCTCCTCGACACACCCGAGATGATCTTACCTGCTAAGGACCGTACATAAACCAACAGCACACACAGTGCCACAAGCCGTAGCTGTGTAAATGATGAAGGAAAAAGCCCCACCAGGTTTGCAGCACCCGTATAAATCAAATTCATTTTGATTTATACCTTCTGCTCTTGCAGAGGCCCCAGCAATTGCCATTTGACTCCGATTTCCTACTCTCCCACCCTCCTCCTCCCATCATCTGTTCCCCAAGGAACAATGTTATCACCAAGCACAACGCTAATCTGCTGCCAGGCAGACACACAGAGCTTGGCAGGGCCAACTAATGTTCTGTGAGGCAGGCAGGAGATTGCCCAAGAGCCCAGCACAAAGGGGAAAGAGATAGGGCCAAGGATCCAAGGACACATTAACAGAGCAGGGCAGGCAGTAAAGGGAAGCAGAGCACCAGCGACACTGGCACGGGGCAGGTCCTTCACCTTCGCACATCATCCTTCTGGTTAGACAATTAGTTTAAGACCAAAGAGACCTGAGTCCAAGCTGCAGTGAATCTGTGCCCCCCACTCCCTCCTATTTCCCCAGCCCACCCCTTGCTCCAGCAATGGCTTTAAGTCACAGATTCAGCTCTCCCCATTGGGGCACAAGCAGCAGGATCCAGGTCAGAGCAACCCTTTGGCAGCAGCATCGCCTTTGGTAGGTTTCAGATGGTGAGGAAGCCACCCCATGCTCTGCACTGTGCACTTTGGGATGGCAGCAGCCTAAATACTTGTGATTCACTCATTCCTTTCAGGAACTGCCCCCCAGCAAGTGCTTTAGAGGCTCCATCTTCATAAGGAAACAGCAGAACAAGCAGGAGAACAGCCCAGCACAACTAGCTTCAACTGAAGTGGCCCATCACAACAGCTCAGCACATCAAGTCCACACATGCCAGAGCAGAGGCAATGGGAGGTGCAGGAGGTGTCACACCAGGTGAGGCCAGGGCTCATGTAAACCTGTCACAAAAAGCATCCTATGTGTATGGGGGTGAATATTCCAGGTTTCAAAGGGCTGACCTTAATAACAGCAGTTTTTCTAGTCCATTTGTCTAGACAAGAAACTAACTTGACTTCTCTGCACGCAGCACTTTGGGAGCCATTCATTTGGGGGATACTGGAAGGCACCAAGACTCATTGAATTAACCTCTTATGATACACGAGTTTGGGCCCCACATACCCCTTGCAGGGTGCTACCTGCAAACCAAAAACCATTGCACCCAAACCCCTCACATCAGCTTTTGCAACCATGTCATAGTTTGGGTTGGAAAGGAGCTTAAGGTCATCCAGCTCCAACCCCTGCCACGGGCAGGGACACCTCACACTAGAGCAGGTTGCTCCAAGCTCCTGTGTCCAACCTGGCCTTGAACACTGCCAGGGATGGAGCATTCACCCCTTCTCTGGGCACCCTGTGCCAGCGTCTCAGCACCCTCACAGGGAAGAGCTTCTTATCTGCCACCTGAACTTCCCCTGTTCCAGTTTGAACCCATCACCCCTTGTCCCATCACTCCAGTCCTTGCTGAAAGTCCCTCTCCAGCAACTTCTTTTCCTCTTGGAAGCCGCTCCAAGGTCCCCAGCAACTTCTCTTCACCAGCCCCAATGTTCTCAGCCTGGCTCCAGCCCCTGCTCATCCTCATGGCCTCCTCTGGCCTTGCTCCAACAGTTCCATGTCAGAATTCCTTAAAGACGGACGTCAGATCTCTTCCAACATTGTTACTCCTGGGATTGAGCACCAGGATGTTGAACACAGGCAAGACCAAGTAGAGCATGTACCCGTCATGTCCACCCCCTCCACCTTCCCCAGTTACTCCATGAGTTTTCCTATTGGGAAGAGGCTCAGAGGGTGTTGTGCAGCATTGTCGTCCCCCCCCCCCAGCACAAAGGCTGCTCGAGCAGAGGCACCAAGTAACCGGAGCTTGATGCAGCTGCAGCTCTGCTCACGTCCTGGTGCCCAGCAGAGAACTGGTAGAGAAACAGTTCCAAAGACAACAGCAGTTCCCTCCCTCACTTCTAGTTTTCAAAGTGAATTAATTGTTTTAGTAGATTTTGCATCTTCCAACAAGCCTAAAGCAAATATTTTTCTTTAAGCCCCACTGACTGTTCCTGTCAAGCCAAAAGGGAGGCTTTTTCCCCTGAAACCCCTCTCTTGGAATGCCAGGAATGTTAAAAACCTTCTGGAAGGAGTCGTGTCATCATCTCCCCCCTTCCCCAGCAGATCTCTGCTGAGCACCACTTGCTCACATTAACACTTCCCAAGTCCCAGCCTGCCCAGAGATTCTCCAACCTTCAGTGAGGAGCACCCCACACCACGACACTACAGCTCTTAATGTCAGCTGTGGCCAGACCTGATAGAAAACACCATACACATACAGTGCTAGATATAAACCACATATATATGTGTGTGCATACATATATACACAGAGTGGTAAAAAGGCAGGAATTTCCTAACACCCATTGCTGCTGACACACAGCCAGCTCCGAGCTGGAGCAGAGCAGTTGTTTGCAAGCCTCCAGCAAAGAATGCTTCTAACCAAGAGGCAGGGAAGGAACCCGTGCCCACTGATGGCCTTGCCTTCACCAGGAATTCTCTTCTGCTCCAACAAGTTAGCAAGCATTTACTATCAATTGCTCCACAACAAGTCCTAAAGAACCTGAACTATTCTTATCCCTCTTCCTCCTCTCCAGGTTTGCTCTGGACGCTTAAGGGAAAGCATTTCCTTACTGTAGGCAATGCCTTCAATTGGAACAGGGAGACCACTGAAGCAAAAGGTAACGTTGGATCTTGTCACCTTTGCTCGAAAACCAGCTGAGAATGAATTCCCAGGGTATTCCCTCAAATGCATCCGGGTCCTGGCAGAACACTGCTCTTCCCTTCCCCAGGTAACTGTCCTGGAGATGGGCTTTGGGCTGCGCAATTCCTGCCTATTCCAGCCCTCTCCAAGAGGAAACCAGCAGCAGAGAGCAAACAGGGCAGGGGAGGGAAGAGGGTTGTTTGCAGTGGTGTTTTGTTTGGAGTCAGGATGGTCTCGGGGCCCCTCTGCTGCTGCTCCTCCTAATTCACACAGGAAGGAGGAGATTATCCTCCACAGAGACAACGATCCCGAAGGCAGGAGCAGCAGTTCAGAGAGAGGAGCTTGGCCCCGGAGTGATGTCATGTTACGAGGAGCCACAATGAGGTTAAATTCAAGTGGGGCTGCTGTTTATGAAGCAGGACTCAGCCTCTTCTTCACCCAAAGATCATTCCAGCACTTGACACTCTTGTCAAGAAAAACAAACCGGGTGGAAATTCCCTTCCTGTGAGCCACAGGCAGCCCTGGGCTCAGCTCCCTCCATGAGAAGGCTCCTCTCCTCCTGGCTGGCACCCAGCGGGGATGAAGCCTCCCCTTGTCCACTTGGCACTTCCCAGGCTCTGAAGCTCCACGTGTCTCAGCCTTTGCTATTAGGGGGATTCTTCAGAAAGAGCCCACTTCCCCCCCGTGTCTCCGTTAGGTTTCATGGCAGATGCCTGCAGCTGATGGCTGGGGAGGCATAAAGAGCATTTAACAGGTCTTTGTACTTGTCGAGGAAGGAAAAGCAAACCCAGTCCCAAAGAGCCTCCAGCTACAGCAGAAGCAGCACGACTGCAGCTTGATCTTGAACAAGAGCTGCAGGGACTGGCACGGCTCTGCTCTCCCTGAACAAGAGAAGGGAATATCCAGCCCTCCAGAAACATGTGGCTTCCTCCAGGCCTTTGGTCCAGCACCATTCCCAGCACTGAGGCTTTCCCCCCCTCCCCACTTAGGGGAAGGTTTCAGGGATATTTCATTATGCCTTGGAGGTTTTCCTCAAGAACCAGCTCCTACAAGAGCAAGGTCATGGAGGGGGAAAGCTCCAGCACCCCTAAAAGGTACATTCAGCACAACAGACTCCTGAACATGTGCAAGAACCTTCATGCTCTGCCCCAGTCTTGGGCTAAGCACCAGCCCTTTCCTGGGTGAGCTGCCTAAACCATCTGTGCCTCACTTGGCCACCAGAGCCAGGATTCTGTTTGCCCCTTGCACATCAGTGAGCATGGGAGAACTGACTGCAATAGATCCAGGATTCTGTTTGCCCCTTGCACATCAGTGAGCATGGGAGAACTGACTGCAACAGATCCAGGCCGCAGGCTGGCCCCAACATCCAAGGTTTCCATGACAAATGAAAGAGTCTTTACTTCTGGTTAATCCTGATCATTTTTGGTCATGTTTTACTAAAGCTTTGAGCTTTTAGGCACATTTCCAGCAGGGAAGAAAA